TACTCCAGGGGCAGTCTGACGTAGGCCCCATAGAGTATTTGGAGGTCCATGCGAGTAATGCGGGAGAAGGTCCGTCGGATATTCCGCAGAATGTCGATCCGACGCATCCTCTCCCGGTTGTCTCAAAACCACAGCTTATATGGGTCGGTGTCAGCAAACCCATGAAGCGACAGTGAGATGGCGATTTTTTGGTTGTGCACCGGGGTTTCCACAGAAGAATGTGTTCTCGCAGATTTCAGCTAGATCGTTTTCATTATCTGAGAGAGTTGGCTATCTTACTAGCGCATTTATTTGGATATAATGAGTTGACTGTGTGATGGTTGTGAGCTTTGATGAGAAAGACCGTGCTGTCGATTTTATTAAGCTACATTGTATCACTATCGGAGCAGAAATCGAGTGTAGTATGGACTTGGTGCTCTAAACGAGTGGATTGTGCATTATGCACCCGCCCACTCAATAGATCTTGGGTTCGGCTGCATCCATGGGTGCACGTTTGATGGCGCGTGTGGCCCTTGGACCCTAGGGCTCAAGTATACACCATTTGGTCTTACCACCGACAAGTAAAGGCCCTTCTTCAGCTTTAACCTCGCTGCGCCCAGTAGCGCTGGTGGTTACCGAGTCCCGCTATCAAATCACCGATGTACACAGGGCTCCCTGGTTATCGCCTATTGGACTAGTTCACTAAGTAATGAGTTTAACTTTGTCTCCAGGTTCAGCGCAGACATTGAACAGGAATTGTGGACAAAGGGATTTATTAGGCACCTAATGATATAGCCGCTGCAACTTTGCTTATGGTGTTTTAAATGATATCGAGAAACATGTGTACGAGTCATAATTGACTATATATTTTTTCAGAAATCCTGTCGAGTAAAAAAAACGGAAAACTGGATTGGCCACACATTATGGTTGTCCGGCGCAAACAAATAAACAAAAACATGATTTGTTAGGAGCGGTCAGGTATTGTTTAGCCGTGATATAATAGCAAGTGGACGACGTATGGATAGGAGGGACCGCCGCTGGTCGTTGTATGTATAGTTGAGATATTATAGTCAGCCATGAGCATGTGCACGCGCGATGAAATTACTAGAAGTTGCCTCGACAAGTGACATCGAGTATTGGTACATGTATGACGGGCCGTTGCTGGCCATTGGACTGGACTACTGGCTAGAGTTGAAGCCCCATACTCAAGGTTGCACATTAACACAGGCCTACACACAGGCCTAGCCTGTAACAAAATGCGAATGTGTGAGGGTCCATGACCTTAAAAGTTCCCCACTTAAACAAAATACTGCGAACATTATGTCCCTGAAAGGTATGAATGAATTACAAAAGCTCCCCGTTAAAGTCACAACCCTATAGTTTCGGCGAAAACAACTTGGGTGTGCTTTCAGTCAGGGGCCAGCCCATCTGATACATGACCACAAAGCTTTAGTTTGCGGAAATGAGGAACCAGATCAACGGTTCTGATGAAGCAACAAATTTGGCGTAATCCAACGGTGCCCAGTAGACGCAAAATGTTGTTGTTAGACAACAGCATGATTTGCGCAGTGGCGACGAGCCATCTCTCTTGATGATCCCTTTTCCCATTTCTGCACAACTACGCTGTAGATAAGACAGCGTCACGAGGTAGCTGAAATTATCATTCCTATTATGAATGTGATGCTCTGTAGGTAGTGACCACCATGAAGCTATCGCCATGATAACCGTTGCCATTGTCACTCACCTCGGCTAGATGGCCATGCCGGTTTCGGACGCAAGCGCGATGTGACTGTGGCCAAGTAATTCACGTAAACTTTGCTTAATCCGAAAGCCGCTTACGGGATCCAAGGTGCGATACTCTACAAAAATGAGACTCTTAGGGGTGCTATCGAAAGGACTACTCTTCTTTAATGCCAGCAATCTCACAAACGACCACATGGAGCTTCACGGAGACAACGTGCCAGGCAAACCGCGTTCAAAATCCCGAGGAAACAAACGGACGCCCGTTTACCCCAAGTCCTTGAACAACGACGAATCCTTGCGTCAAAAATTTGGCATCGCTCAAGCCCAAAGCAGAACCTATAAAAAATTTTGACCACGAGGGGAAAACAAAATGGAAAGCCAGCGCAAACCGAAGTCCTCGGGGAGTGAAACCAGAAACTTAGCTCAAATCACATGTCTCTGGCGCGAATATCTCTAAATACAGCTACCCCATCATCTGAGATGATTCGGAACGCTAGATCTCAAGTGTGGTTGTTCTAAACTTACACACGGCCCTGCGTATCCCGATCATACTCTCCACCACCAGTCCCGCCTCTTTTCATGATGCACCGTGGATTCACATCCGGCTGCGTGGACCGGCTCTTCTTGGTACAGTCTACCGTTGCCCCTCAAGCCCCTCAGAAGATAAACTTATCCTCATATAAAGCCTTGAGTAACTCGCCTCCAGCTCGTGCTTCACGAATATCTTGCTGGTAATTGAATTTACCTCTTACAAGTATTCCCGGGCGGGGTTCGAGCGCATCGTGTCTAGTAGAAATTTTGCATCAGCAATGATCAAGGGTGTTCACAAGGCGCTTGTACTCAAAACGTCGTCCCAATCACTAGAAACAGTGCAAGCCAACTACCATTACTTCAAACTTTGGTTATCACTAACAAAAGACGCTTCACTAATCAAGGGTTGATTGAAGTTTTACTGTGACACAGTGAGCACTGCGAGCTGAACTTTGACTTCAAATCCCACAGGCTCAGGATCCCGTGACTTCAAGCGTGCTTTGAATACTTCTGTCTTAAGAGCCTTTATGAAACGTGAATCTTTCTTGACTAACAAAATGGGGCGATCTGCAGAGGGGGTGACACATAAGATCACTTTTGTAACACTTCACGATCCTGTTGGTACTTTCGCCCCAAAAGGCCCAGCGCACACTCAAACGTACCAGAAATACCCAAAGATGTCCGTACGTTCTGACAATGGCGTTCCAGTTATTTTTTTAATAAGCTTGCCAAAGTTGACACAGAAGATAAACAGGCACTTTCTGAATTGAGGAACTGATTGCTGAGGCTAGAATAGGGCCAGTTTGATTTCATGGTGCAACGTTGTGCATTCCGGTACAGCATTTATACTTTGTGTTTCATTAGCCGTTCGACAAGGGCAAACGCATCTTTTAACTCGAAAGAAATCGATTGTCAAGTCAATCTACAAGGCTGGTGACTGCGTACCTCTCGATAGCTACGACATTAATAGCCCCACGAGTGTACATTGCAGGGTGTTGAAAAGAAACCTAAAGTGGGCCATCTTAAATCACATAGAAATTGATATCTCGCACGTGAAACGAATCCATCAGGACCGATTCTTCTGTGACAAACAAACTTATGTTAATGGATAGCCAAAGAGAGAGGACTTGTATTGATTATCATATTTTTCGATTTCCTAAAAATTTTAATCGAACTTCACTCGTTCCGCCCCTTTTCAAGCCCTAGTGTCATTGATGGAAGGAAACCTCCTACGCCGGATTGGGACGTTCCCATCAGATAAAACCTTCTTCCTGAAAGGATAATTGATCGGTATTTTTTCTGTACTGGTCTTCATCGAAATTCCCCTGGGCTCCATTTCTGGACCACTTTTGTAAGCCAAAGACATTCCATCTGTTCGTTCAAGCCCATATCTACTTTCGGGATGACATAGAAGCCTAGAGTTACAGCGAAAGTGTCCCCCGAACGTTCGTCAAGACAGTGGTCACTGCACTAGCATTTTGCTCCGAATAACGAAAAGTGCTTCCGCATGTGGCCAAGAAACTGAGCCGATACTTCTGTTACAGATGGTGTGTACGTACCAGGATGCATCCCATGGACAGATGCCAAAGTTCTTCGGTATCTGAATTTCTTCAAACATGACCTCAATTCACCATAAGAAACTGGCTCAAAACTCATTTGTCGTCCCTCGGAGGATTCGGCTTTTCCCTCATTACTCGCATGGATATCCAGATACACTCTAAAGCCCGTGCCAGACCGCTGGTTGAATATGCCAACCAAACTGTCTGCTCGGGACGCAAATCCAACTTAACGCTCATTGTGCGCGTCCAGAATGCTGCTTCAACAATGAGTACCGGGCTCAAATCCGTTGATTATGAAAGGCGCTGTTGATTTCCCCTGTGAATCAACGGTGAACAAGGGTAACCTTCCTTGTTTTCCGACTTCTCGTGAGTAACAAGACTTACACCTGTTTATTATGACACCGTTTCTTTTTTCTGCTGCTCGTTTCCCCCGTTTCATTCCTACTTAAGGTCTGTTTATCCCCCAGTAACTGATGTCAATATTTTGTTGCCCGTCTGTCATTGCCTGCAAGTTCGTCTCGATTGCACCAAGTTTGAGCGCCCACTCCGATGGAAAAGCAGGTCGACCTGGTGTCGAACCCGGACCCACCGGACGGGAAGCGAACGCGCTACCAACTACACCGACCTGACGTCCGGAGCGGCTGATTATTTTGTATTACCCATGTATCACGCCTGCCGGATGGCCTTTGCTGAGGTTTGTTTTAAACGGACGAAACCGCATAATCTGACCTGCCGCGCGACACGAGCGGCTGCATCGACGCCGACCGAAAGACGGTCCCTCACATCCCGAACCTACTGACTCCTGCGCCGTTATGGCCAACTCACACTGTCAGACTGCCCCTATACGTATGTTTGTGCATCGTTTGGTGCTTACTTGTTGTTGCCCCTATAGAAATTCCTTCTGCGACAGTGACTATTTCTCGCTCCTGCCGATTGCGTCATTGTTGATTGTACGTATGCTTAATTCATGATGCTTACTAATCCGTTTGTCTGTAGAACCAGTTCCTGTCAGTCCTCAATATATCATCTGCTGCCTCACGTCTGTCTGATCCTATTGACTACTGGCTACGAACTGCGTATAATCTAACAGTCGCAATCGTCCTGTGAGATCCATAACCGCCCGGATCTTACAGGCGCCTCATGTTACTTGACCTATATCCTTTAGAATGCCGTTGCCTGTGAGGACAGATGGTGCTTAGTCTTTCACTGTTTGATCAACATTTGGTCAGCAGATTTTCACATTTGGACCAACTAATACGCAGCGAGGATACGTTGAGATCCTCAAACTCAGAGCGCGCACGTTCATCGAGCAACGATGGTTGTTATTTCGAAAGCTTGGTTCGGAAAATAATATTCTTCCAACTTTTTAACCTGCATTTTGGACCCGGATCAAAAATGTTTAGGCACAATTTATGTGGGCCCACGTGCTGGCACGTTACCATTCGACGTTTAGAATTTAACGAACGTTTTTCCGGCATTTTTCGCCTGCACTCACTGGCGTTTTTACTATGATCAATTAATTTCAACAATCAAACTCCCTCTAGCCAGTTGCGACACCACAACAACACCGGTGACAGCACTTACCTCAGAATTCCCATTGTGCTTCCTTCCAACCCTCCAAACCATGGAGTGTGACGATTTTAGCTGAAATGCTTTTCCGGCTGTTGATTAGATGGCCAATGACCTTTCTCCACCCTGCAGTCAGCTTACTAACGTCTAGTTCGTAGTTAAGAATATATCTACAGTGAGTAATCGAGCAAGCATCTCCGCTTTACCCACCTGCGTTTGTGTGGTATTTGTAGAACGCCGAATATCCACACAGTACACTGACCATTTGGAATAATTCTTTCTTGACATCAGTGGGCAGTTCGCTGTTTGCCCTGCGTTTTGCATGGCTCATGTCACTGTGTTTTGTTGGATACTGGTTGTTGACCAGGCGGCTCTTGGTTTGTTCACCGAACTTAGCAATTAGATTGCAACCGTTTCGTCACAAAATGGCATCATCAGTGCGCCGTTGAGTGGGTGTCACATGTTTGACTGAGTGCGTTTATATAGCACTTGAATGTTATTTGTTAGCAACGTTTGGGTTATTTGTTATTTGGGTCGTAACGTTTTCTGTGGATTTATTGGTCCGTTCATGATTTTCGTTGGATTGCTTTTTGCCGCTCTTCAAGTTGATTGGTCATCCCGTAGCCCTCTTCTCGATTCGCATTGATTCCTGGTCTAATTTTTTCTTTGTCGTAAGTGAGTGGCCGGCTGCGACGACCTTTTCTCCACTGTACTGGCTGGCGCCCTTGCGTCCGTCTGTTAATTTTTTACTTTGGTTTATTGCCCTGATGCCTCCCACAATTCAAGTGATGTGGCCGTTTGGATTAGATGCCCCGCTTCTTCCTCCTCTGGTTGCCTGTTCACTTCAGAAATACGTGGTTTTTGTGTTCTCGTGCTCTCAGCGGTTCACTGTGGCTATTGATAGCTTCTTCGTCGGAGTACCACAATTTCATATATTCCGTGTTCTTTCATCTCGCTTGATGAAATGTGCGAACGACCTTTGTGCACGTAGATAAGAGAAAATCGATCGTATCTTTTTTGAAGCGAGCTGGTGTTTGTGTATTTTAGTGGAGAGCTTACTTACTACCTGTCCTATTTATCCTTCGTCGCAGTCGTTGCATTGAATCCTGTGTATGACACTGTTCTTCATCAGTGGGTCTGATTTCCCCCTTGGTTCTGATAGTGCCCTCCGCAAACCTTTTGCAGGCATGTAAGCTACTGTCGTGTCCTGCTTCTGTGAGAGCCTCACGGTCATTTCGATGATGTTTCTGCCGTATAGGCATGTGACTTGTTTGCTCCCATTTTGTGCCGCCGTGTTAGTCGTGTTTGGCTTTCTAGCTGATCTCCAAATTGAATTTATTAGGTATCCATTTTCCTTGAACAATTTGTGCAGACTTTTTATTCTTGGGCTCTGTTTTACTGCAATGTGTTTTTATCCAACCGAAAAAAGTCCAAATGCAGCTTTTTTGTTACATTTTGGGCAGTTGATATGGTAACTCAGAAGTTAGCCCTTGTGCGTTGCCTTTTTGTGGAATTTGGTTTGCAGTTGTCCGTCTGGTACTCTAGTGATAAGGACGTTCGGAAATGCCAGTTTTCTGTTGTTCTTTTCTTAGAATGTGAATTTAACGCCTTCAAAAACGTCGTTCAATAGTTGTCCTGCACGGTGCAGCTTGTTGGTTTGATTATCGCAAAGATGTCGTCCAGTTAACTGATCCCATCTTTGGAGTTTTTATCGTGAGATAAGGTTAGGTGTAACTTTGCTTCGTGATTCCATCAATAATTGTTAAAATTGGTCATCCCATGTGTACGTCTCCTAGTTGTTCGTGCTGTTCTCCACTGAACTCGAAATGTGTGATCACGGACAGGTGGAGAATTTGGTCCTCTTTCCCCAGCGATTTAGTTGGCATGTCACCGTTCTCCAACTATGTTGTCGCAGTTCCCTAGGCGTAATTTATATTTACAGGCGTAAATAATAAAAGCACCTCAAATGAGAGCATGATTTTATCCTGATAGGTGTTTACGTTCTTCACCCTCCTCGAAAATTGCCCCTTATTTTTGAATGAGCGTAGATTGCAGGTCAGAGGGATTTTGTCTTTTTGTGTAACTTTCGCAGTCCGTAGAAGCAGAGAGTGATTGCATCTCAAGCTCTTCTTTACCACTATTTATTTCTCGTATTCTAATGGAAATCCTGGAGCCTCTTTAATTTATGGTTGATTTTTTGCTAGCTGCTTTCCTTGGACACATTTCAAATGGCAAAACATGGTTACGTCTTTCGGTAGCGCTTTCAACTTGTTGATTTAGTCCGTTTTTTGCATTATCACTGTTAAGCGTCCCTTGTCTGCTGATAGCATCACTATATCTTCAGCCTTCTTGGAATTGGTCGTCGCTTCTTTTTCTTTGTCGGAAAACACTGTAAAGCCTGCTGCGTGTGACGGCCAAAATGACGGTCAGCCAAAGTTGTTGTTGAGCGTTTTCGCTGAGTCCGATAGATTACACCGCCCCTTCCAGGCTAGTTAATATTCTGGGTTTGACGCATCTTCGAATTTTACGTTGAGCCTTTTGAAGAACGTTTTTCCTCAGCTCTTGTGAGTTAATTTTTGGGAGGATTTTTTATTCAGGATGCGTCATGAGTGGTTTTGTACTCTTCGGTTTTACTCAACTTGGAGGGCTTGTTCTCCAGAGGAGCTTCCTTGTTTCTAGCGGTGGATTTAACTCTTCGTTCTATCGTAGAGCTGAGTTGCTTTATAAATTCTGGCCCTATTTTTTTATGAAGGTTCTACGTGCATATTGACTATTCTCCCGCATTTTTTAATGAGGTTGTGGGCGTCTAAAGTCATGAGTTTGACCATTCGTTGGATAGTCTATGGGAATTTTAGTTTCAGTTTTGGACTGGTCTCTTCCGGAACTGTGCTGTGTTTTGGGGTTTCGTCCCCAAATTTGTTTGGTCCTTTTTGATATTTCAATATTTAGCGGATTCATTCTGTCAGCTCATACATACGATTTTGTGTTGCACCGTAGAATCGTAACCTGAATTTAGACTGGGTAGTTTGGTTGCCGCATTTTATGTTTTCCTTTTCTTGTGCATTTTGGTTTGGTTGCCGCTAAATAGTCGGTTTGATGCTTCCTCCGTTGATTTGTTATTCACTGAACTCAGAATGATTTTTTCGACGCTAATTTGTGGAATCGGATTTATGCAGTTGAGTCCCTGTATTCCATGCTTCTCATGCTTACTTCTGTTCCGGTCTTTTGTGAGGTCTGACGTTTTGTATAACTGCAAAACCTTGCTCCCTTTGGTCAATGGACCGGGTAAATTTCCTTATGTTTGTTGCTGTTTTTTCAACAGGACCCACCCCTACAATAATTCAGGTTCTTTCCTGATTCTGCCATGTCAATATGTGGTAGTTTCACCATGTGAATTTGTATCTATCTAGAAAACCCATAAGTGAACACAGTTGTTGTTTGTATGCAGTTGCATTCGATCTGTTCCGGTCGTTATTATTTCCGGCAAAATACAGACCAGTGAAAGCTGTCTACTCATCTGATTTATAACAGAATGTGCGGCAATTTTGGCAAAATACTCTGAGAGGCTCACGGCTAAAATCATCATGCAATACGTTGCAGCCTTTGCATCATTTGGGTCGCCCCACCCCAAGCCCAGAACGCAGAACGCTGCGGTTGTGCTCTGTGAACTGAAGGAAGTTTTGCTGAGCTAGCTCCCGCAGGTATCAGTATTTCCAAAAGCACATAAATGCTCATCATCCGAGGAGGGCCATAAATCTGCCCAACGTTGAAAACGCAGTGATGCAACTGCTGCATGGATGAATCCAAGAAAACCTAAAATTCATGAAATTTCAAGGTCCTCTGTTGTTCCGAAGAATGAATACAAATTTGACATATTTTTAGCGCACCCGAAATTTTTGCTGCCACAACGATCTATCATCAAGAACTTCTAAACTAATGCCGCAAAATGCGACGCTCCACCTTGTGCTAGACTGGCTTGCTTGAACGTACGAGAGCAAAATTCCGACAGTCTCTGTCGTTCTAAATTTGCTAATCGTTTTTCGATAATAACGAAAGTGAATTTCTCACCGGGGAAAAGTTCCAGTGCAGCGTTAACATCTGGCTCTAAGGTTTTGGCTTCCCAACATAGTCAAGCCACCGCCCAATATCTTCTGTGCGCACAGTATAGATGAATAGGAAGACCATTACACTTAGGCCCAGTTGGTTTTTGGTGCATCAGCAACATTGTTCCGAATACGCCAAGACTTTCGGCCTGTTGCAAACCAGTGATCCTTCCACCAGACAACACTCTCAAATTACTTGGTTAAATTAAAGCTCGCTAGTCCTGGCTTGTTGGAACGCACAAAGCATGGCAACTAAATCTCGTTTCCTGACGTGACCGCCGTATCACTGGAAAAATTCTTGTTTTTCACTTTGGTTTCCCAAGAAAATAGTGCAATAATTAAAAAGATATGCGAAAATTTACCGAGAAAAACAAAAAAGTAATCCTTGAGACATGCAGCCTATGGAGGAGCAAAGATCGTATTTTGGAAAACCGTGGAGGTAACGTGTTGATATGACCACATCATAAAACCTTGGGGTATATATCTAGATATTCACCTTGGTATGAAATGCCGTCGAAATACGAGCAGGCATGGCGGTACCATTTCAAACTAAATTCGCGCTTCCCTTGCTGCACCAATTTCCGGAATAGTGTTCAGCATGTTGAACCCGCTTATCCTAATACCATGGCGCAGTTATTTCTGGTTATTTCGGCGAGCGTTTCGTTTATCCCTTCACTGTCATGTCACGTCAGTCTAGGTCAAAAATAGGTTGATCAATCCGAGAATAGGTGCGGAGGCAGTGCCGTCCACAAGAAAGGGAGTCGGACCATGTCTTGTGAGCCACTAATTTATAGGTTTAGGCTGTGCGGGGCTAGAAAGGAAGAATTCACCGCAAAAAATATTAAACACTTATGAGTAAGCTGGAGAAGTCGGCTATATACTGATATGGGCTAAGCACAGACCTCGCTTTTTTATTCGTAACTTTGTTTGAAGCGTGAGGTAGGTATTGTTTTGAGGCAAAGTACGTGGGCTTCGGAAAAACCTCGGATTCTGCCAAATTAAATCTCATCCTCGTCCTACATATTCGATTGTGAAGTCAACACAGTACCTCAGCATCAATGGATGACTCATCCTTGGGGAAAAACCGTTTTAGGGTAAGTATCATCACATACCGACCTACTAACTCTTTCAGGGGATCGGTATTCCACTTTTTCCGCTTTTGAAGTCAAGCACTCGGGCTAGACATCTCATGCATGAAGTTGCCGATATTTGTTGAGAGATTGCTTTACACGACAGTTTCACAGGAAGGCCTTCTATCTAACCATGGTTTCCGGTACTCTTGAGATCTCGAGCATGTGTCCAGATTTCCTATCCTTGGACGGTCAAACAAGGATAGAGACTTGGGCACTATCGTACTCCGTACACTTGAGACTGGGTATGGGTGCAAATAGGAGGCCAAACAAGATTAAATGATGACTTATCAATTAACAAGATCCATAAATTTCGGATATTCACCTGCTGATGTTGCAAGCAGATACTCTGGATATTGCGCTGAGGTGTAATCTGTTGTCCTGAGAAAAAACACGAGCTAACTTAAGGGAGTGCAACAAAGTATTCAACTAAACGGTGGATTTAGTTTTATCGAAAGGGAGTGCTCTTAATCTGTGAGCTTTTGAAACAGGATGATAGGATGTCCGATGATTACCTTTGAACGTCCCGCCTGGATAGACCTTTCTGTTATCAGATGTGCCCTGATGGCCGGCTGAACGTGGGTGACACCCGAATGATTGGTGATGAACAGAAAACTCATGACCTAAAAAATGGGAAGTAGAGACAAACACTGTATTTCATTGTGAACCAGATGGATTTGGATTTGTTTTAAGTCACCCTAATGTATGCGATAGGGCAAGGTTTCCCGGAGCGTGCAGCATGTATCTTGATGAGTGTGTGGAAGCCTATCGGCATACCATCGTTGAAAGCGACTGGCCAGCTCAGTACAGAATAAGAAGAGACTAACTCGCGTGTTCAGGTGCTACTGAGATGAAGAGACGAGAAGTTAGAAAGGGTGAAAATAAACAAACGGGAATGATTGCATCAAATGGAATAGAAAAAAATAAAGTATGGGCGACTGGTGAGGGAAAAAGCATGAGTTAGTTTGAGATCATTCCGAACGTACTTAGTTTGGATTTCCACAAACGAAATTCTGCTGGCGTACCTGTTTCTTGGAAAAGGGCTTGACATACCCCTTACAATTTATATCAATACCCCGGTCCTGGTGTGATCTTGTGCAGCCGGAGACAGTGCACACCGCAGCCAAGTTTTTGTCAACGTGTAGCGGAGGGTTCGTCAGGCTTCATACTTTATCCCGTCCTCAGAAGTTCCTCTTAGTGAATCACAATTCAGGCCGAAGATGCTGGTTATCTACCTCCCTAAATAGTGGAGAGAAACCAGCGCTACCGTGAGGGCTATATACTCCAAGTCCTGTCCACAGCTAGCCAAAACACAGACATTAAAGGCTTCAGCACTCAGTTATTTCTCAGAAGATCGGTCTCCTCAGTTTCACATAGCCATTCTTTGATCAAGATGAAAATATCGTTTCATCCTCCGACGCCATAGTCTTGACTATTTCTACCGCTGATGATTACGAGAACAAACATGATGAGAATATGCAGAAGAGCCAAGGGGCCAAAACCTGGTAGGCCTCATTCCCAAATTGCCGTTCTCAGAGTGGTTTTCCCCACTCAAATCATTCCCTCCTTAAGCATCACAACACACGTAGGTTTGTTGTCTGTGCACATCGCTCTGCAGTTTCTTGGTTCCATCCTGTTCCCAACTGGCTGAAAACAGAATAGAATAGAATAGAACAGAATAGAATAGAATAGAATAGAATATGTGAGTCTTGACGGTGAAAGTTTACGTATACGCAGTTGGATACTCGGGGTCGAGAGGTTCGCCAAGCTCCCCGGGTCGGGTTTGGTCCTTTCATCCAACAGCTTCCGCTAAAGCGAAAGGCACAAGCCTAAATGTGTAGCGCTACTCTTCAAGTTCTCAGCAAGTGGCAGTAATTTGCCAGACCGTTGACCCATTTAAAAAGTATCTAAAAGTACATTAAACTGGATACTAGATGTGGCGTGGGCCACCGCCGGATGGAAGTAATTCCATGCCCAAACTGCCAGAAATGAGTGCCCGCTCCGGAGTTGAAAACCTTTCCAGCATGTCCCCGTCGTGTGCTAGTTAACAGTGAAAACGGTGTCCATTAGCCGCACAATGCTCTTAGGCGCAAAACCAGTTGGCGAATCCGTGTTCAAACTACGCGTAAGTTAAGTAGACTTGAGTTCGTCAAAATCGATGACCAAAAACTAAATGGAGGTTTTGAAGATACTTCGGAAAATGCATGCTCTGTGCACGAATCTGGACTATTTTTCCTCTTTCTCTCAAGCCTTGTACTTCTGTCTCTTCCTGATAAGTCCTGGCCTTGAAACTCTACAGCATTTGATTCGATACTCTCGGCTTTGAAGGTCACGCTCCCCGGCATTGTCTACGAATGTGATCCCATGGCCTGGCACCTGAGACTTCTGTAAGCTGTGTGAAATATGCTTAACACCGGTCTACTGTAGGGTTTGGGTTTTGTTGGGCCTATTAACTGGAGGTGTAGGGCCCGAAAAAAGCACGTCTGTGGGATCTACTGGTCGAGATCATACGATTTCCGACGACAAATTATTCTCGCATCCGTCACCCAAGAAGTAAGTTTTGGATTCAGTTGGCGCTTTGATTTTTAGTGGTGATCGATCATCGTGGGACGCGCATTCGTTTTTCAAGGTCCCGAAAAGTATCAAAGAAGTACGTCCTCCGTTTTTTGCACTTGTACGTGGAAGAGTGGAAGATTCGTAACTATGTGGTCATATTTGGGTATCGTGTACATAACGATTACACGAGTACAAAATGGTCGTCCCTGTGTTCAGTGCTGTGGTTGGCACCAATATTCACGAAGGTTATCACCCGCTAAAAATATCACGCTTATCGTAAACGATCATAACAATAGGGCAAGTTGGCATTGTTCTTAAGTATTGGCAACTCGTGTGCGTTCGCTGATTGGTGATCAGAAGGCCCTCGAACTGTTCGCACGGATTGGCAATTGCCAAAGTTTCGTCATCATTTCGCCCACCCACCCACCCAACCGCGGGCTGATGCTTTCTCCTCGTTTACTGACGAAATTCGCAAGTTACCCCCTCCCCCAGGCCCAACGAACAACTCTTTGAACAACGACCTTTTCTGAATATCAGAAAAGACATTGGCACTGCTGGAATTTCAGGAAAGTCTTCCGGCCGGGTCGGAAAATAACTTGGTCCCAAAAATCGTCAGACGTCAAGTGAAAGGGGTTGCTTGTCGACCGTGAAGCTTGATGGACTCGTAGGGCTAAGGTAATGGAGGAGGCTCAGGAAGCCGGGAATGCCCGAAGATGATTTCAGTTGATCCTTATGTCAGGACCCCGGAAACCAACCGGGAGTGAAACCATCAAGGATCAAACTCGTGTGACTCAACAAAGAGCAATGCCCTGACTGATGGCCCGAATACTTCGAACAACAATTCTGGTAGCCACCCCGTGCCACTCATTTGCATAGCCCTGGACAGAACCATCTTGAAGAGACCGGCCCCTACCGCAGTGTGACGGTTGGCGTACCTCGGCGACCCATTGGGCTATAATGGTGTCCGCGTGACACTCGCATAGTCTCTCATACTAGGTTGGTCAAAGGCTAGAAGTCTGCCGAACACAGTATCCTGGTCCTTCTTGTTGAGGGTTGCAACATGAATGGCTACTTGTCTCGTAAAAATGGTAGTATACTTACATTCCCAGCCGAACGCCGCTGCCTTTCAGTCAAGTTTTTGAGCCAAAGGCTTTGGTTGAGGACCCTAATCGTCCTCCCATCTAGTCGTGGGTGCTCTGGCAATATCCCAGTTCACTTACAACCATGAACGGCAGCGAAACATCAGTGTTGATCACTAATGTCATGCTGTCTATGATGATGGTGATAATACGGCCTCCGAGTTTTATAACATTATCTTCTCTTAACCGTCTGGATGATTCCCACCTGCATTGTTCAGAGATTTGGCTGAAGTTCTTAGTCAGCGCTTATCTGATCTGTTAGCGTGCATTTGGGAAAAGGAGGCTGTCCGAGACAACTGGGTGCTAATGCACTTTTTCAAAAAGGGGCTCGATGTGGTAACCACAAGAGAATCAAGTTACTCAACCTCATAGCGAGCCCTTTGGTTTCACTTGTGCTTCGTCGCCTTGTGGTGGCTATTGAACACTGACTCGAGAGCAACAAGCGGGACTCTGGCCTGGTCGGAGTTGCGTTGACCAGATCTGCACACTCCGCAGGTGCTAGAACGATACAAACGACCTACAATTTCGGTATTTATTGATTTCCAATGCCCATTCGTTTCTGCTGACCGATCTGTTCTTTTTAACACACTTGCCCAGTAAGAAGTGCCACAGAAGTTTGTTTCCTCTAACTTCAGTGCGTGTTAGAGTACACGAATAGCTCCCGGTCTTCTGTACACAGCGGTGTCCGTCAGGGCTATCCACTCTTCATTCCAATTTAATTTTGTGATCGACGAGGTAATGAGACGAACGCTGGAAAGTCTTCAAAACCCTGGTGTCCAAATGTCTGTTGATGAGAATGTTGTCGATCTGGAATGTGCAGATGTTATCGTACTGATCTTCGAAGAGAATGCGCAGGTGTTTTTGGATGAAATGACCAAAACTATCCTGGAAGGCTAACCGCACCAACAGTTCACGAACTTATCGCAGTCTCGGTTCTTTGAGGTGCGTGTGTTGGTTTCATCATACAGACTTTTATCAGAGCTAATGCAACTACGGAAGCATGTGGGGTCTGAGGTCAGAGTTTTCATTTTGAAGATACAAGGTGCATGACGAAAGTTGGTATGATGGTGGTTATTTTATCCAATAGTGCTTGTCTCCGTGATTATTTTCGTCCTCAAAGATTAGGGCTATGTCGTCTACGTACTACAGGTCGATAAGGTTCTCATCAGCAACGATTCGGACACCGGGGTTATGAAAGTCCAGCTTTCACCTGGTTGTTTCAGGAACGATGAGTTTGGACGAATAATCAAAGTGAACATCCCTTTTTTGTAGGAGAGCTTTTAAAGAGCTTCGCATACATTTACACGTCCGGAATCATTTGAATAAAAGTACCGGATTAAGTTCATAACCTTCCGGGACACCACCTTTTGAGCAAGCGTAGTCTGTTAGCACTGACCGACTGACGGAATCGGACGCACCTTTACAGTCAAGGAAAACCGATTTTTGGGTCGTCTGTACATATGACGTCACTAACCGGATTGAGTGTAGTCTGATGAACGCAGCTTCTAGCCCGTCGAAATCCCACTTGACACTCACAAGTCAAGGTTTTGCGTGCCACAGTAAGATGACAAACAATCAATGAAGAAAAATCAGTGACAAAATTGTCTCTTTGTCCCAGATAGAGGTTAATAGGTTAGGCAGGCAGTGATTAAGGAATTCATTGCCGTTCTTGAGCAGAGCAGGTGGAATTTTGTCGGCACAAGAAGCGCGATAGCGCATGACTACTAATACAGTTTCGCACACACCTGAAGTTGAAGGGGGCTCCATATTCACGGTTCTGTCAGAGGCCAATAGCTCGGATTGGAAGTAACAGGTGGCTGACTGAATCGTTCGAAGTGTTGTGTTCAACGGCCGAGACGTCTTTTTTGTCGCATATCAGATAGCTTATGTGATTCTTGGCCAGTAGGCTTCATGTGATTTGTCGAACGAATCAGATGGAGCACTCTGTCTATATTTCTAGAATTCTGATTTTTTCCATTAGGCCTTTCGGATTCACCAAGTTCCACGGTCTATGTGGACATTGGGTTTTACCTGGCTTCGAAAGATGCATCAAGTTGGGTTGTGGTTGCGACCAGGGCTTTCAGCAAGTCTAACGTCCCATGAGTATTCCAATGTTTGGATGAGTGTGACTGGGCTGTATCGCAGACAGAAATTCCGGTAATTAATAGTGCTTTGGGTATCTGTTTTCAGCGGCTTGACCTCTGCTTCTCGACTTCCCCCCATCTAGGCTTGGGTAACTTGGCAGTATCCCACCCTTCGTGCTTCTTTCGGGTAGCATGACAGCTAGGCACCGGAAGGGTGTTACAGCTGAACGATTATTTATTATTTTAACCCCTTCGTTACCGGAGTTGGACATTCGGAAGTGGAGTGAAATCGAGGGACAGTTAGTCTAATTACATTAATGGCTTTCTAGATTCTTGTTTCTAACAGACAACGTACACCAACGCAGTAGGAATCTATCGTACTAGCGGGAACTGCTTGTTTTCCTGCTTGCTTTAATGTCCAGACATTAAGTGGATTGGTCTTCGGAGTTTCGGCGTGTTTTTGGGTGTTACCAGAGGCGGACCCGCTTAAGCTGCAGCTGAACGAACAGAGTGGTCATCCTTAATACTGATGGAGTAGGACGAAAAGGATGTATGTGAGCGTAAGAAGGGAGGCGTTAGCAGTATCGTGCCGTACTGTATGTTGCAACCGGACTGGTAATACCACGTGACAGCTGATGTGGCATCAAAATATTCCCGGTTGTGCCGTCCATAGTTGTACGCGGGCTGGGATAAAAAATCGCCCAGTTGTAACACCCTTCTTGTGCCTAACTGCCATGCTACCTGAAGAAAGCACGAGGGCTGGGATACTGCCAGGTTGCCCAAGCCTGGACAGGGGAAGTCGAGAGGCAGAGGTTCGAATCACGGACCTTCCGGTCAGTAAGTTGGCGCTCTAACCACCTGAGCCATCTCGCGGGCTGGGATACTGTCAGAGTACCCACATTCAGACAGTAAGACGACTGGTGTCCCTAACTGCAACTTTCGTTTTGAGCTGATCTCACCCGACCTAAAGTTGTTACCTTTTGAGGGTCGGGCTTATGCGCTGCAGTAATACTGCAAGTCATACTGGCTGAAACTCAGTTTATGAAGGTTGAATCATGCCAGGAAGGTCAACGGGGAGCAGCCCGACGAAGAACAGCGAGTAATCGTATTACGAGGTAATGTCGTACTGTCCTCTGCGATAGGAGTGTGAAGGCAGTAAGGCTTTTCCCCCAGGTGATCACCATGTCCGTGTTTTTGGAAGTAGCGATGCTGCCTTCTCCCGAGGAAGGATGGGTTAGAAAAGCTCGGTCCCGAAAACCCCACACTCCGATCGCCCAACGGCTGACCGTGACCGCCGGCACATCATCCAATCGGTTGAAATGCTTTTCAAACCAAAGAGGCTGGTGCTGTTCAAAAGGCTCTCGTTGTGTGCTCTTGTTGTGAGACAGTAGTGCCTTACTCCTTGTGCCCCTGCAGCCAGTTGGGTGAGACTATTGAGTCATTGGCTCCGGGAATGGCCCCCAAAGAAACCCTAACAACCGCTGCCTCATGGTTCGGGCATTTGAGTCAGAGGCTAGGGGTAGGGTCCCCCCAAAAAAAGCCCTACATCCTCCCACTACATTATGGTTCAGACTTTTAAGTCAAGGCTTAACCAAACTCCCTTCGGCTTGGGCAACCGGGAAGTATCACTCGCCCTTGCAGCTTACACTTGCTGACCTTGCCCTACAACCCCTCCCCACCCATCTACCACTCCACCAGCAATTGTTCCGTGTCCAAACTTTCGCCCAGAAAAATAAGCCAAAGTTATCACTTACCGCAAAAGTTCTGATCCACGTTGCGGCATGTCTTGCTGGAACCTTGCTTTCCCCATCTGTCGATGTATATTGTCTCTGAAACACGCATACAAGACCCTGCTTCGATCGCGCACTTTA